GTCCTTTGGCACCCGTAGCTCGGGAGCTCCCTGTGCCCCGCTACGTGAGCTGGCCGTCCCTGCCCTGCGTTTCAGTGTTTGAGCTGGTTTATATTTTCTCTGTTGCAAACATTTCTGGAATAAAGTCCTCACCACCTGCCTTCTGACGCCTTGGGGCAGCTCTTAGGGTCTGTGCCGTGGTGTCCAGGCTGCGAGCCTATTTTAAGGCCGGGGCAGGCCTTCTCACTTTGCATCTGCACAGCTGCGCTCCCACCAGAATGTGAGCGTGGCTCCCTGCCCTTTCCAGCTGTAGACGCTGCCAGATGGTGGGTGAAGGGAGATTTCTCCTCACTGTTCTTTGCGTTTCTGCAATGTCCGGCGTGGGATGTTTTTTCACCATTTAATTTCTTCTCTCAAAACTGGCCTCTGTGGCGCCACGGCCTCCTGAGGAGGGTTTGTCGGCACTTGACGGTTTATTTCTAAGGAACCTGGTGGAGCCCGTCCCGGGGTCAGCGTCGAGGTTCGGTGCCGCTCGAGGGCAGAGCCGTGCCCGTTTCTGACAAGCTGTAGCCTTCGCGCTTGGAACGCTGTCCCCGGCCCCCCAGCGAGGGGCACGCCGGGGTCGGGCACGGGCGTCTCGTGGGCCTCGCACGTCTGTCCTGCAGGTGTGCTCCGGGGTCCTCGGCGCCCCTGAAAGCATCTCGCTTTGAACTCCTTCCAGATGTGCTGCTGAAGGAGTCCCAGTGGACGAAGATGTTCTTCGGGGAGGGCCAGGCCTCGCTGTCCTTCAGCCACCTGAACAAGGACGACGAGGGCCTCTACACCCTGAGGATCGTGTCCAGGGGAGGGGTCAGAGACCACAGCGCCTTCCTGTTTGTCCGAGGTGTGCGGGCTGGCGGGTGGGACTGAGTGCTGGTTCCCTGGGTGCCCCCGACAGCGTCCGGGGCGGACGTGGACCAGGGCTGTCCTCCCGAGTCAGTCCCTGGTCGCTTGCTGGAATTTACAGAATGTCTGTGAAGAGTGAACACAGCCCCACCGCTAACTCTGCAGGGAGCCCGAGAGGGGGCGGGTCTGGAGCGAGAGGGCAGGTTGTGGGGCCGCCCGTGTCGCCCACCTCATCCGCTCCCTCAGACTCCCTCAGACCCCCTCAGCATGAGGGGCAGAAGACCACGGCCAGCCTCCCGCCCTCCTGAGTCCCCCCACTTCAAGCACACGCGTGTTTAAGTTGATGATGTTGGCGGCCACACGCCTGAGGGTTTACGTCTGGCGACTTCATCCTCACGACAGGCCGCAGGACAGCTTTCTCCATCCCACTTGTGGGAAGGAAAACACAATCCACCACACGCCAGGCACCGCGGTAGATGTCACGTGCGTGCTGTATAGGCACGCCGGTCTTTAGACGTGTGACATACTTCTGTGTTACATGTAAGTGCCCATCACACACCGGCTTACAGGTGAACACGTTCGTGTGTGTGCCTGGACGTGTCTTCCATACGTTTTGTATATAAAGTGGATGAAGGGACATATAAAAAGGGTAAGATTATATATATTTTGTGTACAATGTACATACACGCATGTGTGTATCCTTACATACAGGTGTATATATACGTGTGTACACACATCTATTCACATACACGTATACAGTCTAAAATACTCTTTCCTTTTCAAATGAAGGTGTGGGGACCTCCCTAGGGTGCAGGTGCTGGGGGCCAGAGCTGGGTCCCCCGCGAAGCTGCAGCCCTGTGTGTGTGGGGACACCGCCTGCCCGAGCCCTTCCCCGCGCCTGCCCTCGGGCACAGAGGCCCCTCTTGGCCAAGGCATGGCTGAACCGCCCTGAGGACATCAGCACAGCCCACCCTGGGTGGCTGGGCCGCTGCACTGACCCCGGGCCCCAGCTCCCTCCCCCCGGCCCCTCCCTCGGGATGTGCTGCCCTCTGTTCTCGTGCACCTGGCCTCGCCTGTCGTGGGCTCGTGTCTCCTGCAGCCTTACGTCCGCCTCCGACACCAGGTTGCCTGTGCCTGGAATAACCCGATTATGTATTATTTTTTCCAAACCAGATCAGTTAGATCTGCGTACGAAGGAAGGGCTGTGTCATCCGGGAATATTTTAACTTAAAAAAAAAGGAAAATGCAAATTAAGCCCCCCACCCCCACCAGACGGCATAAACTCGCAAGGCTGGGGTTTTACACACACGCACAAAGTTTTACTGTTTTTATTACGTTGGCCTTAAGGCGTCCCTTCCATTCTCTGAGCCTGCCTCTGGCGAGATGTTCCGCCCCATTAAAGCGCAGTAAATACAGCGCAGCTGAAGTCACCTTGCTCTGCAGCTCAGCCAGCACGGGGAAGGGACGCACGTGGGGGACTCTGGCTGTTCCCATTACTTTCCGAGGATTCTGAACAGGAGAGAAAATGGCTCCACATCAGAAATCCTTTGCTTTTAACATGCTGAGGAGACGGGAGCAGGAGCTGCATCGTGCTTGCCCTGCTGAGACGGGGCAGCAGCCATGGCGGTCACTGAACAAATGCGCGTCTGCGGCAGGGAGGCCAGATGCGCAGGGTCTGCACTTTCTAAACTGCTCTGTCGGCCTTGAGGCCAAACCGTAACTGTGCGTGGTCAGCCGGCTGTGGGGCAGGACCCATGAGGACAGGCCCAGCGTGTGCTCACAGCTTGCAGGAGAGAAATTTAAACCCTCCCATCTGAGGATGCTGAAGCACCCAGGGCTGCAGGGGCACTTCTCAGGGTCTGAGAGGCCTCATTGCTGTTCTCATCCTTTCCTCAGTCGGTGTTGATGTGATGTGACGTGGCCCTGTGCCGTCAGGAGAGGGTGGATCTGATTTTGGGTTCAGTTATGAAGAACCCCAGACTCGAGGGCCCCGTGCCCCGTGCCCCCCGCCCCAGCCCCTGACCACGTGCCTCCCCCACCAGACGCGGACCCCCTGGTGACGGGGGCTCCAGGCGCGCCCATGGACTTGCAGTGCCACGACGCCAACCGCGACTACGTCATCGTGACGTGGAAGCCGCCCAACACGACCACCGAGAGCCCGGTCCTCGGCTACTTCATCGACCGGTGAGTGTCTGCTGGTCCCTCCGGGGATGAAGCGCTCCTGAAGCGGGTGTCGCCGAGGACAGCGGCTTGGGCGTTTTCCTTGTTACGTTCTGGAGCTTGAGCATTCATTTATTTATGGGTATTTTCCTACTCTCAGGGTCTCGACACCTTTCTCGATGGGATGTAGGAATTCACTGCTTGGTTACTTAGCGTTCCTGACTGCGTAACTGGAAAACACCACCAAACAGGCAGGCCCCTCTGTGTGGTGGTGGTGGCGGCGGGGGGGCTCCGTTGGCCTGCTCAACACGAGGACCAGGCCCCACCCTGCGTCCCCGGGCTCTGAGCCCGGCCTCAGGTTCTGCTGAGGGTCCAGCCCGGGGCTGGGAACGGGGCTCCGGCTGGCGGGTCCATGCTCGGCCCTGTTCCCCGCTCCCGAGGGCAGGAGCCCGGGCGCCGGGAGCTGCAGCGGAGGGTGCTGGCCCATTCGGACCCAAATGCCGTCTTCCTCTCTGTGAAGCAGCGTCCGCTTCTTGTTTCGAGGTGAAAGATAGTGATGCCTCAGGGCGGGAGCTGTTAGTGCTGCCGGAACGTAGGGCATCTGAGCCCCCGGGCGGTTCTGACCCTTCACGTTCCTTCACTTGTGCAGCGCTCAGGGGCTGGGGCAGAGCACGGGCAGAGCCGTGGGTTCACTGCATTTGCGGTTCTAAGCACCGAGTGAAGTCACAGTCAAAGAAGGTGGATCTAGAAGACAGAGGGCATTAGCTCTTCGCTTAGGTTCTGGATGGTTCTGGATGGAACTTAAGATCTTGTATGTGTAAAAAAAATAAAATAAGGAGGTTATTTCAGAAAACAGAGCCAGCTCCGTTTGCTGGCGTTGTATTAACTGAATTCCCTTCTCCACCAACAAAACTGTATTTAGGCAGGACAGTCACCCTCAGGGAAATAGTCCGATTTGCATCATTCAGAGTTTACCTTGAATTAAAAAAATGAAAAACAAAAGCTATTTTCTACTGTCCTAAGACATTTGATAATTTTCCCAACCACTTGGCACCTTCTCAGTTAATGCTCCGCTCCGGTCTCTCCCTCGTTAAAAAAGATAAAAGCAGCAGAAACTCTGGGTGGGGGGAGGCGGCCCCTTTTCTGGCCCTCTCCTGTCCTTGCAACTTGCCAGCGGCTGCTTTGAGCTGAGTTCCTCCCCTGCCAGCCTCTCAGTTTGGACCACGTCAGCCTCTGGCTGAGACAGGGCAGCGCATGCTGGTCAGAGAACTTCGTGAAAAACCCCGATTCGTCAGGAGGAAAGAGAGTTGACCCTTCTAAAAGCGCGGGCACGACCCTGGGGCTGGACAGCCCCGAAAGCCGGGTCTTCTCAACTTGCTCCTTCCTCCTGGAATCTGACAGGAAGCTTCAGTCCTGAAATTTCTCAGCCTGTGAGAAACGGAGGTTAATCTTGGCTGCGTCTCTAGATTTCTGGTCAGGACTTAATATTTTCAGAAGACGTCCAAATTCCACACGGGAGCTGCTCTGGAAAGAAACACCTTGACGTTGTTGGGGTAGGCGGTGGGCCAGCCGTGCGGGGAGGACACACCTCATGGCTCGGGGGAGGAAGCGGCAGCCACCGTGCGGCACCGGGCGGAAGGCCGTTGGTTTCCTGAGTCTCTGCAGCGGACGTGCGGGGCGCGTGGGGGCAGCCGCTGATTCTGGGGTGTAAACAGGAAGAGAGCTCTCAGGGACAGACCTGAAGTGTCCTCTGGAGATTTTGCCTGAATGCGTCTGAAGTCAGGGATTAACCTCCAGCTGCGCTACAAAGGCTCGGGGAGAAGTGTGTGTATATGCCGCACTTCCCAGGTGGCTCTGTCTCCTGAAGTCCACGTACACTGCAGTTTGTGGAAGCCAGCATTTGGACAGCACCGGCTGTGCCGGTGGAGGCAGCCTCCTGCCGCAGTGGCCGAGCGTGCATGGGACGCGGGCGCGGGCGACGGACGCGCCGCGTACGCCGACCAGACTGACGTGCTTGGTGTTCTCTGCTCTTCTCTTTATCGCTGAAGCTGTGAAGTGGGAACTGACAACTGGGTTCAGTGCAACGACGCCCCTGTAAAAATCTGTAAATACCCGGTGACCGGCCTCTTGGAAGGAAGGTCGTACATCTTCCGCGTGCGGGCCGTCAACAGCGCTGGCACCAGCCGGCCGTCCAGAGTCTCGGAGGCTGTGGCCGCCCTCGACCCCCTGGACCTCAAAAGGCTGCATGGTAGGTGGCCGAGATTTCAGGTTTCCGGCAGCTTTGTGCAACTGTTCTCTCTCTTCCCCCTAGCTTGTGTGCGAGCCTGGAGAGCATCTCCAGGGCTGAGCCGCACCTCGGGGTCCCCCGTGTGGCCACCAAGGCCACGTTAGTGGTGGGGACAGCCAGGCTGACACTTAGACTTTGAAGCGAAGGGGCTTCAGACATCTTCCCAAGGCTCTTCACGGAGTCCAGTTTAAACTGGTTCAGAACTTGACTTTTTTCAGTCCATCGATGTTGCCATTTCAACACACGATGAGGCTCAGAAGGCGCTGAAGCCAAGCCCCTTAATGTCACTGGCCGCAGATTCCTCAACGGGATCGGACCCTTACTTGTGGTTCTGGGTCAGTCCCTGCGCTGTCCTCACCTGCGTGGCCTGAGAAGACCTGAGAAGCACCAGGTGCCTTTAAGGCGTCTTCCAAGGCGTCAGCCCTGGTTCTGCCAGAGCTGCACGGACGCCGCGGTCAGGCTGCAAGGGGAGTCGGACCTCGTCCCGGGGAAAGCGGCTGTTTTCTGTAGGAACCTTTGCACCTCAAATTCAGCACCACCCTTTCTCTCCGCAGCAGCCCACCTGGGGGGACACAAGGAAACGGTAACCTATCAGGATGACCTCGAAGGTAAGGAACTCTTCCCCGTCCCTGCAGCTGCGTATGCCCCGGGGATTAGGGCTTT